TTGGTGAGGCGGGACGGCCCCGGGCCGGGACCGGGGCCCCGCGGCTGACACAAGGTGCCTGCGGTCATCGGAATGCGTGGGTTGCTGAGCTTATTCCCCACCCAAGCCCTCCCGGTGCGCACGAGAAGGGAAGGCAGCCACTTCTCCCAGGTATTTTTCAGATAAATGACGGAAGGGAAGCAGGAGCACGGTTAAATATTATCAACAAAGAAGTAAGAAAGGGGGAGAGTGGTAGGCGAAGAACTGTCATCGCTTCTAAGTGAAGGCAGGCGCGGCTCTGTAGAAGTATACTGGTCAGAGGTAAAGCTGATAGTTACATTATTAACAAAACCCGCGCTACACTAAGTAAATGCTAAGATAATAGAGCTGCACTCTAATCGGACTAATCTGGCAGACACCAGCTCTGCCACCGCATTAGCAGAGCATCCAGGAGGTGCCTGGAGGAGCAGCAGCTCCAGCTGGGCTCACCCCAGGGCTCACACGATGCCTCTTAACCGTGTTCACAGCTGCCGTTGGAGATGCTGCAGGTGTAGGAGGACGTCGACTGTACTACCACAAGGAATAAAAATAAAAGACAGAACTAATTTATTTAAAAGCGGAAACACACAAATAAGACACATTATATACACAGCAGCACATAGCGATGATGTTTTGCTTGAGTTGGAGTTAAAACTTTTTCAGCAGAGGTTGCGCTAAATTCCATATCATAGAAGACTTCAGCTGTTCAATGCCACTTATTTTGCAGTTTTTGGTGCTGGCATATTTGTTCTTGATTGCCTGCAGAGAGGAAAGTTTGATTTAAGTTTACCCTGTTCATAAACTCACACTATTCCAACTCACCTGAGGCTTGGTGGTCAAGCCAAGCCCATCCAAACACACAAGACCAGTTCATGGCTGGCTCATGCCACTTTGGCAAGATAGAGATCTACAGGTCTCATCCAGGTCTGACAGCAGACTTGCTAAGCCAGCTTCAGAGCTCCACATAGTGGCACTTAACCACACATACTCCCCCCGTCTGCACTGTGAGATTCTTACCACGTGCTTGGTAATGCCCTCATTCACAAAAATGATGTTCTTTGCTATGTGCTGCATAACTGGGAGAAGGTCGCTCTCAGAGTAAAACATGTAGTGTTGCAGAACCGGTGTCTGAAAGGAAGGGAAGTCGTTAGACAAGCCTACTAGAACAATGTGAGTACCCTGGGTTCTTTGTCAGTTGGGCTCAGGCAGTTGCAGTCTTTTGTCTCACAGGGCAGTAACTGTTAACCCTCTCCTATTTGTTTCCCTTGTAATGAGCCACAGGGAGACAAGAACATGATGAGATACCACAAGGGAAGCTGAAGGCATGCACTTGGCCCAGAGTAGCCTTTTAAGCTGGTGCACAGGCACACCGATTCCCAAACTAGGAGGTGGTCTGACAAGCATGACTTACCCACTCAGATCCTTTGAGGAGTTTCAGAGCCAAACAGGAAGCAGCTGCTGCAGTCTTGGATGGAGAGAAGTGAACCATATCATAGTCCACAATTGACAACTCCATCAGGTACTTGGCCAGAGTGTGCTGTTCCAAGTCCACCTGCAGTAAGTCAGAGTTGAGTATTGGCTTCCTCCAAGGTAAGAGCATTCTGTCAAGCCTTTGTTTGGTCAAGCAGGAATAAACACTTCCTCAGCAAACATTTTCAGAGCAATAGGCTTGAAATTCAAGTGGCCTAATCATAGAGCAGTTCTGAGCTGTATTAGGCTGCTCATAGTTTAGGACCATGCCTTTCAACAGCAGTCTAGTAGCCACCTGCAGTACCAGACAGGCATTTTAATTCTGGTTTTTGGGTGGGTTAAAGTCACATGACAGAAACCAAACAAGACCTATTTCTACATTGGAAACAGGTCTCAACCAGGTTCAGTTGCTAAACCGTTGCAGTACTCATAAGTTTTGAGCCATTTTAACAAGTTGCCACGGTCAAGTATTGCATTTTCCAGACGCTGCTTACAGTAACACCTGTTCTCAGCATTACCTGTGCAATCTTTGAAGCCCTCCTTAGGAAGTGTGGAGAAATAGGGCGACCCAGACCAAAGTCCAGGGCTTGCAGAATTTTCATCTCCATCTGGCAGATTTGGGAATTAGTATAAGTGTTATCAGTTACATAGGCAAAGTCTCCGACGTGTGGTGGAATACACTCTTCGTATTTGCTGGCAATGAACATAGCTGTGATACCAACCAGCTGCAATGTCTTCTTGGAAACAGCATTGTCCTGTAGTAAGAAGCAGTGGAGATTGATCTGTATGACTTAGCTCAGAACACATCTTTTCAAGGTAGCCAGTTTAAGGTTTGTTCTGTGACAGGATGTTCATACTGGCATATACAGAATAATTGTACGTCATCTGTTAACCTCTGTTAGCATCTGCAGGGGTCTTGGAAGGCTTTGAGAACAAATGAGGGAGAGGAGTAAGCACAGTTTTGATCTATCAAGTCACTGTTCATAGCTGAGAGGTTTATTGTGGTGCATACAGTTCAACATCACATTCCCTTTGTTGGTCAGCTGTATTTTGTTAAGGGTAACGTGTTTAGCTATGGTCTTGCTGATCAGCTCTCATCATGCTTTTGCTTAGGGGGAAAAAAAAAAACATTGCCTGCCACTGGGCAAGAGACACTCACCTGCAGGAAGCGATCGATGATACCAACTGCCATATACAAGGTCTCCTGTGTGAGTCTGAATTTCATCTGTACTTGCACAAGCCAGTCTATTAGTATGGCACGCATGTTCCCATTGATTTCCTGGCCGGCCAGGTATTTGGGTCTGACAGGTTTGTTTTCCTGTGTGGAAGGAATAGGGTCAATAGACCTAACCACTTAGCTGAGGTGTTTGCAGTGCCTAGCTTTTGTTGCATTTAAAGGCTTATCAAGGAGTTGAGTACAGGCGTAGCCCATAGATGTAGGACACAGGGCACAAGGTTTCACTGTTTACTAGAGATGGGCTAGAAAGAGCATGGTGCTAGTACTACTAGTTGATTGGTCTAAAAACCAGCATCTGTTTATATTATCAGCTCAGTTTAATCTTGTATTTTAAGTTGAGGGATCACTTATTAGCACCTCAGGAAAATCTGTAGGTGAAAGCGAAGCTCCGAGCCACGCCTGTAATGATGGGTTCACTGTGCCAGCAGATACCCTGTACAGTTCTGACCTTCTCCTACCAACCTCAAGGTCTCTCAGGTACTTGTAGATGTCCTTCACATAGCTGCCGCAGAGGTTTACATCATCACCATCGTCCACATCTGGATCTTCCACATCAAGCAGGACATCAGAAAAAGCCTGACATAGCACGTCCTCAGATGGGGCACATCCGGATGTCTCCATGGGGGCTGGAGACTGAGGCTCCAGCTACAAGGAAACCTGGGATCAGCGGGGCAAGCTGCACCCAAGTGCCGAGGGGGGCTCATGACCCCTATTTCAGGGCAGCGGGTGAGGCCATGCCCCCCCCCACCCCCCAGCCCAGCACAGGGCTGGGGAGGGGGCACACGGCCCCAGGCGTACCTGGGAAGGCTCCGTGACTGGCGGTGGCACCTCTTCTTTAGCGGTGCCCCTCTTCTTGGTAGCCGTCTTCTCCTGGGCGGGGACGCCCGCTTTCCGCCCGCAGCCCCCCTGCTCCTCCACC